ATTTTTTAAACACAATTATCTTTTTAAAAGATGTAATAAGAAAACAAGCAACATATACTTATTCAGGTAGTTACCATGGCCAGAGTTCTTCATTCCTTTGGATAGACCCATATTTTTACTTGGTACAATTTTCTTTTTGCCTAAAGACCTTCCTTTAACATTTTTTGTAGTGCAGGTCTGTTAGTGATGAATTCTTTCAATTTATATATATCTGAAGATGTCTTTGGGGGCACCTGGGTGGCTCAGTTGGTTAAGCAACTCCCTTCGGCTCAGGTCTTGATCCTGGAGTCCCAAGATCGAGTCCCACATCAGGCTCCCTGCTCAGCAGGAAGTCTGCTTCTCCCTCTGGCCTTCTCCCATCTCATGCTCTCTCTCTGTCTCTCATTCTCTCTCTCACACATAAATAAATAAAATCTTAAAAAAAAAAAGATGTCTTAGTTTCACCTTTGTTTTTGGAAGATACTTTTTATGAAGTTTTAATTTGAATTCTAGTACAGTTAACACACAGTGTTATGTTAGTTTCAGGTGTACAATATAGTGATTCAACACTTCATATACCACCCTGTGCTCATCACAACATGTGCTCTCCTTAATCCCTATCACCTGTTTTATCCATCCCCGCCCACCCCACACCTACCTCCCCTCTGGTGACCATCAGTTTGTTCTCTGTCATTAAGATTCTGTTTCTTGGTTTGTGTGTATCTGTCTTTCTCTTTTCCTTTGCCCCCTTTTTGTTTGTTTCTCAAATTCCACATGAGTGAAATATTTGTCTTTCTCTTTGTTACTTTGCTTAGAATTACACTCTCTAGCTCCAACCATGTTGTTGCAAATGGCAAGATTTCATCTTTTTTTATGGCTGAAAAATACTCCATCATATGTTATACCACATCTTCTTCTTTTTTTTAAAAGATTTTATTTATTTATTTGATAGACAGAGATGACAAGTAGGTAGAGAGGCAGGCAGAGAGAGAGAGAGAAAGGGAAGCAGGCTCCCTGATGAGCAGAGGGCCTGACACGGGGCTCGATCCCAGGACCCCGGGATCATGACCCAAGCCGAAGGCAGAGGCCTTAACCCACTGAGCCACCCAGGTGCCCCTATACCACATCTTCTTTATCCATTCATCTTGGGCTGCTTCTATAATTTGGCTATTGTATGTTTTTGAAAGATATTTTTGCCTAATGTTCTACATTGGGAGGTTTTCTTTCAATACTTTAAAGATATTGTTTCACTATCTTCTTACACAGATTGTTTTGGGTGAAAATCTGATGTCACTCTTAACTTTGTTTCTCTGTACATTCCATCTTTTAAGATTTTCTCTTTTTACTCATTTTAAGCAATTTGATTATAATGTGACTTCATATAACTTTTCTTCATGTTTCTTGTGCTTGGGGTTTATTATGTTTCCTGGATCTGCGAGTGTATGGTCTTCATTAAGTTTGGAAACCTTTCAGTCATTATTTCTTCAAACATTTTTGTCCCCTTTTTTTCTCTTCTTCTGGGTCTCTAATTACTCATATATTAGGCCATTTGAAATTGTCCCATAATTCACTGATGTTCTTGTAATTGTTTTAGATTCTTTTTTGTCCCTTTCATTTTGGATAATTTCTATTCTTTTTTTTTTTTTAATTTATTTGACAGAGAGAGATCATAGGTAGGCAGAGAGGCAGGAAGAGAGAGAGGGGGAAGCAGGCTCCATGCTGAGCAGAGAGCCCGATGCGGGCCTCGATCCCAGGTCCCTGAGACCATGACCTGAGCCGAAGGCAGATCCTTAACCCACTGAGCCACCCAGGCGCCCCTGGATAATTTCTATTCTAATGCCTTCATGTTCACATATCTTTTCTTCTGCAATATCTAATCTGCCATCAATCTCATCCCGTGTATTTTTCATCCTTGGACATTGCAGATTTCACGTCAGAAATTTCAATTTGAGGCTTCTATTTTTTTTTTTTTTAAGAATTTATCTGTCTATTTTTCAGAGAGAGAACACAAATGGGGGAGTGGCAGACAGACTGAGAAGCAGGCTCCCCTGTTTAGCAAGGAGCCCAACACAGGACTCGATCCCAGGACTCAAAGATCATGACCTGAGTCGAAGGCAGACACGTAACCGACTGAGCTACCCAGGTATCCCAGTTTGAGGCTTTTTTATATCTTCCTTCTCTCAACTTTTTGAGCATAAGAAATACAGTTAACTGTTTTAATGTCCTCCTTAGGCCCAACTTCTTTCAGTTCTAGATCAGTTTCATTTGATTATAGACTGTGTTTTCCTGCCTCTTTGCATGTCTAAGTATTTATTGATCCATTTTTTTTTAATGGGTGCCATACATTATGAATGTGATCTTACTGAGGGCTAGATAGCTGCATTCCTATAAATCTTGAGCTCTGTTATGTAATGAGTTTACATTACTCATTACTCATACATTACTCAGTCAACAATTTGATCTTCCTAAGTGTTGCTTTTATGATTTGTTAGCTGAGTCAGAGCAGGAGGACACAAAGACGAGCAAGGCATTAGTGAAAGTGGATACATAAGCCCAGGCACTAAACCACAGCAACACGGCTAAGGGGACAGTTAAAACTCGATCAGGGTGGCGGAGTGCAGCCTCACCTCTGCCCTCTATCTCCCCTTCCAGAGGTAGTAGCAGCAGCATGAAGAGAGCAGGGAGGGCTGGAGTTTTCCCTGGGTAGGCTTGGGGGTACCCTCATGGGATCTGAAACCTTATCACAGGAACAAACCAGGCTTCAAATATAGACACGGAGCAGCTGCTGGCACAGAGCTGTCCAGGAAGAGGGTCCCACCCATCATTCCACTCTGCTTCACCCTTGCCGATCACACCAAGGGCCTTGGGAAGTCATCACACTGCTCAGGGCCTCAGCTTACTCATTTGTTTTTTGTTTGTTTGTTTGTTTGTTTTTTAAAGATTTTATTTATTTATTTGACAGACAGAGATCACAAGTAGACAGAGAGGCAGGCAGAGAGAGAGAGGGAAGCAGGCTCCCTGCTGAGCAGAGAGCCTGATGTGGGACTTGATCCCAGGAACCTGAGATCATGACCTGAGCCGAAGGCAGCGGCTTAACCCACTGAGCCACCCAGGCGCCCCAGCTTACTCATTTGTAAATTGGGGTGACCCCACCTGCTCTGCCTAGTTCAGAAGGGTGTTCTGTCCGGGGAGTAAGGTGTGCTCATTTCAGCAGCAGATATACTGAAATTGTCCTAGGAGTCAGAGAAGTAAAAACAAGCTGAGTTTCTGAAACTGACACCCCAGTCCTTTCTACACACTGCCTTAGCCAACTGACTGCTAAACCCCCTCCTAGAAGGCCCTCAAGTTACGTGGTCAGAGGTTGTAAAGAAGAGGACAGAGGACCTATCATTTGATTCTAACCTCCTTGCAGGGTAGGCTCCGCCAGGGAAGGTGACCCCCTCCCTCTGCCTCAGTTCTGACGGAAGCCTGGGATGAGTGGTCTCCTTAATCTTCAGGCTCAAAAGTCTAAGAACAGCAGGGAATCCACCCGTAGCCTCCAGATGCAGGCATTTCTGTCATTCCTTTCCCCTTATCTATGATTTCCTACCAGTCAGATGATGGTGTCTGAAGGCAAGAGGCCAGATTTCCCAACAGCCCTCTGGTTCTAGGTTGGGTCATCTCTGCATCCAACCTCCTTTTGGAAGGGCCCGAGGAAACAGACCAGACCAGACCAAGTGGCTGGACCATGTCCGAGCCATTGGTTATTTCTGGCAAGAATAAGGTGATCTAGGTTATCCCTCTATCTCCAGTAGCACCTAAGGACCCTGGAGCGCCTCAGCCTGGTTCAGGTCCCACATCTTTTATGTTTCTGGGTGGCTTCCATCACCTGCCAGTCTGGAGCTTTCCTAACCGTGTGTGATTTGGGGGAAAAGGTGGGAAGGTCTGGGTACAAAGCTACACACACGTACTTGAAGTAATTGTAGATTCACATGCAGTTGTAAGAAATAAGACATCCGGGGCACCTGGGTGGCTCAGTGGGTTAAAGCCTCTGCCTTCGGCTCCGCTCATGATCCCAGGGTCCTGGAATCGAGCCCCGCGTCGGGCTCTCTTCTCAGCGGGGAGCCTGCTTCTCCATCTCTCCCTGCCTGCCTCTCTGCCTACTTGTGATCTCTGTCAAATAAATAAATAAAATCTTAAAAAAAAAAAGAAGAAGAAGAAATAAGACATCCCCTGTTGGTACAATCCATCAGTCCATCTCTGGTGTGTGCCATTGTAATGCTAGACCACTAAAGCTTCCAAATTTACCTACTAAAGTTGCTTGTGGCCCGGGGGTATTGCACCCCGCTACTCCATCAGTGCCCCTGCAAACCGGACAGAGGTTAGCGAGGGATTTTAACAGGGCCTAGTGTGTTCTGGACTCCTCATGCACGTGATCGCTTAATCGTCACCAGAGCTTGTTTCATAGACGTTAAGACTGAGGCGCGGAGAAGGGTGGAGGGTGAGTGGGTCTGGCAGGAGCTAACCCAGGCTTGCCTACTCTATCTACCCTCTGAGCACAGCCCCGTGGGCCCTGGGGGCACTAGGAGGCTTGGAAGGCTCCGCAAACACTAATGGAGTCCGTGGGGGACCCGAGCAGAGCCCCACCGGCGGAGGGAGCGGCTAGTCGCCGCTCGCCGGGACTAAGCTTCAGGGTGTGGCTTGGCCCTACACCTGGGTTCCACCCGGGAGGACGAGGAAGCAACGCCCGGCCGCAGTCTGCAACCAGAGCTCCCCAGCGCTGGCGCACGGCCGGGGTCCGCCCCGGGGGACGCCGGGAAGCTGCCCCGCCCCTCCCCGCGCGCTCTCCTCCCCCCGCTGCGCGGCGCTCGCCTGCCCCCTGCTGCCGCGGGGTGGGCCCTGCAACCCCGGCCCTCCCCGCCTTCGCCCCGCGCACCCCCCAGCTCCGGATTGGCCGCTCCAGAAGTCTCCGGGCCGGCAGCCTTCCGCCACTGGATTGGCTGCGCCCCGGGGCTGAGGCCCCGCCCATTTCCCCGGGTCCTTTGATCACGCGCCTGCCGGCTCTTCCGGGGCCTGGGAGCCAACCGAGGGCGTTCCTGTCCGGGCTGCAGCGGCGGGAGGTAAGGCATGCTCGGGTTGGATGGGCTGCAGAGCGCCGGCGCGGGTCCACGTCTCGGGTTGCCGGGATTCCGGGATGTCCGGGCCGTCCCTGCAGCCCCCAAACCTCCCTTCCCCGGCCTGAGCCGCCCAGCGTCGTGGGAACTATACCTCCCACTCGCCCATGCTGGTCCGCATCCTGGGAGCGGCCAGACATCCGCCCCACCTCGGCAGGTCCCTTCGACCGTGGAACGGCGTGCATGCGACCGTGCAAGCTCGGTGCCCCCACGGACACCGGGACAGGTAGTTCATACCTTGCCCCCCCAGTGGAGACCCAAGCGAAGCGGGGTCGGGGACCTTGGGGTCTGCGTACAGGAGCCCATCGGCAGTCTCCTTGCATCTGTCGATGGGAGCTGACCCTCTCACCTCTGCCTGTCAGCCCACGCTAAAGAGGGGAGGGACCTGGGCGGAGCCCCGGGTGGGGACCAGAGGGAGGTGACATCACCTCGCAGATACCTGCCCACTCGTGTCCGCCCTGGCACGATAACAGTGGAGGAGAGGCTGTCCTGGCTGTATGTCCGCAGTCACACCAGGGACAAGGAGGGCACAGAGAAGGCCTGTAGCCTAAGTGGGGGTATTGGACCGGGACTGGGGCAGGCTCCTTCAGATGCTCCTGCCTCACCCGGAGGCCCCATAGCGCAGGACCCTCATATATCTGTCAGATCTCCCCCTTTTGCTCCACTGGCTGCCCAGTGTCCCCAGAAGTCGGAATAGGAGCTCCAAACGTAGATCTAAGCTTTTCCCAGGAGATGTGCTAGTGTTTGGCCAGCACCTGAGCTGGGCTCCACCCTGGCTTGGGGACAGAAGCCGGGCAGCACTCTGGGCCTCCCCTTGGTGCCCTCCACACCCAGGATTTCCCTGGTCACTGGAGGGTTAAACCCAGCACACTGACCTGGAGGATCTCTCGTCCCAGGGCCTGACCTAAGTTTTGATACATCACCAGCTCTTGGAGAGGTATCCAGAGCTTGGATGGCACCCTGGGTCAAACAAATCACCTCCCTTTCTCCTCCGCAGGGAGCCCGGTGGAGGCGCCCTCCCGAGGCCCCACTGCTCATGCTGACGACCCAGCCCTCCGGCTGCTGATGTCATGAGTAACACTACAGTGCCCAATGCCCCCCAGGCCAACAGCGACTCCATGGTGGGCTACGTGTTGGGGCCTTTTTTCCTCATCACCCTGGTCGGGGTGGTGGTGGTTGTGGTAAGGAGCCCCCATGGACACACATACACACCCACACTTCGGCTGGGAGTGGGGACGGTGGGGCTGGTGAACCTGCACCGCTCATCTCCGCTGTCCTGCTGTGATGGGTGAAGGGGTAGAGGTGGGTCTCTCGTGGGCCGTCCTGGGCTCAGCAGCCTGCACAGCGCTGTGTCTCTGTTACAGGTAATGTATGTCCAGAAGAAAAAGCGGTGAGTGTCCCTGTCCCCAGTGTTACTTCCCCTGCATTTGGCTCACAAGTTTCTTCCCATAGGTTTGGTTCTCTACAGCCGAGGTTAAGATGCCCTTGGGCTTTCCTTATACCAGCCCAAAATTCCCTACACCCCGCTGTGAGGGTTTCCTGCCCAAACTGGGCTTGGAACCCACTGAAGAGGGGCCCCTTCTAGAACGGGCATGTATTCTCAGAACCGTAGTGTGCCCCCAAAGGCCCTCAGGGCCTTAGGTGTTGGGAGTGGGACTCCCCTGGGCTGAGTGCCCTCCCCTGCTCCCTAGAGTGGACCGGCTTCGCCATCACCTGCTCCCCATGTACAGCTACGACCCCGCAGAGGAGCTGCATGAGGCTGAGCAGGAGCTGCTCTCGGATGTGGGGGACCCCAAGGTGAGTGCTGGGGGGTGGGTGGGTGCAGAACAGTCAGCGGGGCAACCTGCTGTCTTATTCCCCAGAGCCAGGTTCTGTCCTCAGACCTCCCTATGTGGGCCAGGGCTAGTGGGCTGTCCTGCCATGGGTGCCACAGCTTCTGCCCTGGACCCCAACCCTGCGGCCCGGTCTCTGCCCCCACAGGTGGTACACGGCTGGCAGAGTGGCTACCAGCACAAGCGGATGCCCCTGCTGGACGTCAAGACCTGACCTCACCCCCACCCCCCTGCTCTCCAGAACCATGGCACTTGGGAGTGCTCCGGGGGCCTGCGGTGTCCTTCCCCACTTGCACTCACCCAGCTCCCCCTGCTGGGAACTGGGTCTCCTCTCATCCATCCAGGCTGCACCTCGCTTCCCCTGCCCAGACCTTCAATCCTTGGTGGGCTGAGCCTTCCACCCACTCCCCCCCACCAGGCTAATCCAAGTTTTTCCTGCCTGGTTGGAAGGGTGGTTGGGAGACTTTTTTCCTAGGCCCCACCTTTCTCTTGAGCCCTCCCCAACCTGGCTTTGGATTTGTTTCCATGGTGACAGGGCCTAATGTATAGTATTCAGTATATATATTTTGTAAATAAACTGTTTTGTGGCTAGGGGTGTGTTTTTTTTTTCTTTTCTTTTCTTTTTTTTTTTAAGAGAGGCTTGTTACTGTCCCTGGAGCTAAGGCTTTCCCCACCCCCTCCCCGGAGATCCACCCCCACCAACTCTGTCCTTGGCTTCCACTCTTACCTACCCCAGATAACCCACCACAGGATTCCGGTCCAGAAAAGGATATTTTTTTATTCAAGTAACTGCAAATAGGAAACCAGATGGGGGGGCCCCAGGCTGGGACAAATAATGGCCACCTCCTCCCCGTCAGAACAGGGGGGAGAAGGTAGCCTCTACACCCGACGGTCAATACAGGCCCCCCCCCAACTCTGCTGCAGCATCCTAGGGGCAGGGCCCCACCTTCCCTGGGACTGGGGTGGTCGGTAACCCAGCCTGTGCTGCCCCGGGCCCCTGCCCCTAAGAGTGCCTTGGAGGAGGGGACCTAGGGCAGAACAGGAGGCAATGAGGATGAACATTTGGCGCTGGTCACAGCAGCAATGACGGATGTCTAAGAATGGAAACATTGAACGAAAACAACACAACTGTCCAGAGGTAGTTTGTGAACAGAGGAAAAGATGGAACCAGAACCTTGGGGGGTGGGGAGGAGCAGAAGGGTGGGAGTGGGCAAGGCTAGCTCCTTGTTATTAGTGCCCCATGTGAGGAAGGGGGAAACTGAGGCCTAAGGTGGAAGCGGAGGGGGTTAGGCAGTGGCTCCAGCCCACCTGGGGAGGCCGTGGCAGGGAGCCTAGGCCTCCGGGACCTCACCTGGAAAAAGGGGGGACTGCATTTCCCTCACTGCAATAGATTCCAGGGTGAGGGGGTGGGGTGGAGCCCATTTAGAAAGGGTAGGGGGCTCAGACCCCTCCTGCCTTCCTTCCTATGCCCAAAGGGGGCTGTCTCACCTAGAGCAAGGACCAGGCAAGGGAGGAAGAAAGAAAAGTGGGTGTGAGCTGCACCTAGTGAGACACAGGCTGGGTGGGGTGGGGGGCATCTCAGGGCCCAGCACCCCTCCCCACTGGCCATACCTGCCGCTGCCTGTGCTTTGGAGGGGAGCAGATCAGGAGATGGGGCCTGGGGCCCCTTTTAAGGCCAGGGAAGCCCTCCCAGGCCCCTCAGTGGGAAGCCAGAGGGAAGAATGGGGAAGCAGAAGGGACCCCCCCCCAAACCAAGAGCCCAGTCAGCAACGTCCCCACCGCAGGGTGTGGGGACACAGCAGGGGGCAGGGTGCCGCAAGACTGGGGGTCGCTGTGTCTGGAGCTGAGTGTGCGTGTAGGTGAGGGGTCGCTGGAAACCTAGACCAAAGGAAACTGCTCCCCACTTGGGCCTTGGGGCCCCGCAGCGGCTGGTGTGCTGTGTAGTGTGGCAGCGAGGGCACAGGTGGGTGGTGGTGGTGGTGTGGGAGAAGGAGGGGTCTGGGGGAGGGGGCGGGGGCAGTGGGAGCGGAGCGGAGCTGTCCAGTCCCAGAAGGAAAATCGCTCCTCGGCCAAGGAGCAGGCGGCACGGCGCGGTCACTGCTCCTCCTCGGAGGACTCCTGCGAGATGCCCTCTTCTTCCTCCTTCTCCTGTGAGGCAGGAGGCAGGCAGGCCAGTCAGCAGGAGTGCCAGGCCTGCCCCCTGCACCCCACTGGTGGTGCTGGGGGGTGGGGGCACAGGCCAGAAGGGCCCCCACCCCTCCCTGGGTTCCCTGGCTCTCCAGAAGGGGGATGAGTCAGGGCTGAGTGTGTGAGTGACTCAGCAACCTCCACGGCCCAGTTTCATTCATAAAAAAGGAAGAATTTAAAGGGAGGGAAAAAACCCCACACACAGGCTGCTCCCGCAAGGAGCCAGGCCCCCTTGGCCCCAGGGCCTGTCCCCCCCCCCACCACCCCAACGCCCAGCTCAGGGAAGTGAGGAGGTAACTGGCTTTCTGTAGGAGGGGAAGGGAGAGGTGGCCAGGAAGAGGAAACGGGAAGAGGTGGCTGCTGGGTGCCTCGCTGGGGAACCAGGTGGCCTTGGGCTGCAGGGGCAGCTGAGGGGCTATGGAGTCAGGCCTCGGACTGACCTCAGGTCAGGGCGGGGAGGAAGGGGAAGTGTGTGTGGTGCCGGGGCTCACTCACTGGGCGGGAATGTTGGGACACCACACGGGCCTGCGGCCCCCCGTGCCAGGCTCAAACTCCCAAACAACTTGTTTCCTGTTACTCACTCCTGGGGCCCAGCCAGCACCCCCTGACCCCCCTCCTCACCCTGGTGGTGGCTCAGCTCGAGGAATGAAGGCCTCAGGGAGTTCAGAGAGCAGGTTGGAGGGACAGAAAAGGGCCAGGAAGAACAAGGCTGCGGTGGCCATTGACTTCAGTGGAGGCCCCAGAGGCAGCCTCCTGACTCAACCTACCTTCTTCCATTAGCAGCTATTTGGGGGCTCAGAAATGGATGGTGGGTCCCAGTGAGGAGGGGCCTCCATATGGGATCACCCTTCCACTCCCACACAGCACTGCCAGCGCGGCTTAGGGCTGAGCTCCTTGGCTGTCTCCTCCTCCCTACCCAAGACCGCCTAAGACGGTGGTGAGGACAGACCCTGCGCTCTGCTCCTGTGGCCTTCTTTCCTCACTTCTATTATGGGGCTGGGGTGGGAGAAGGGGACTAGATGGCCTCCAAGTTCCCCCTAGAAGTTGAGTCTGTTCTAGGAACAGGGGAAAGAGAAGGAGCCCCACCCCTGGCTAGGGCAGATTCGTACCTGGGACCCCTTGCTTCTCAGGGATACAGCCCTTTAAAAGCCCTGGGCTGGGTGTCAGGACCCTGGGCCACACACAAATCCCTTTCCCTCTAGGCCTGGGGAAGGGGACAATGTCCCACTACTCCCGGCTCAGGCCAGGCAGAGTGGTCCTTCCACGCTGAGCACACAGGACTCAGTATCCCCCATCCTTAAACATCCTCCCCAGCAAACCACACCACTGCCATCCCTTCACCTACCAGTTTTTTGGGTCTGCCCCTTGGTTTCCTCCCTGGGGTTGTGGTAGTTTTCTAGATGGTCAGAGAAAAGATCCACTAAGTCAAAAACGTCCCTCAGTCTTCACGCAACCACCAGTGCCCTGGTGGGGAGGGGCAGAGCTCCCCACCTCTGCTTAGGGCAGCCTGCGACTCTCATCCCAGCAGGCCCACCCGAGTCCAGCTGGTGATGACTGGCCAGCCACACTGCACCCCCCCAACATACACACACGCCCCCCACTCCCTCCTCCACCCATGACTCAGAGGATATGAGTCGTGTCTCAGAAAAAAAATAAAAAACAAAACAATTTCTCTGAGACTGCTGCCACTGTGAATCTGCCCTTCCCTGCTTATCCCCACTCCCTTGGGATTCAGGGGGACCCCCGAATGGAACATTCTCCACGCAGGGACTGGTGGAACCACCCCTTCCTTCTTCCCGATTCGCCTGTTTCCAGATGACAAAAGCTATGGGAATTCTGACTTGATTTCCCCCGAAGTGAGGCTTCGGTCATCACCCTGCCTTCCCCAATCAGCCAAGAACCCCTGTCACCCATGCCAGGAAAGAGAGGGCAGGGGACAGAATAAGGACAAGCCAGTGCCTTCTTAGACCTCCCCCAGCTGTGGCCATGGGCAGAGGGGGGGCCGTCCTCCTCCATCCTTACCCGGGTCTTGGCGGCACCCTTGTTTTTGCTCCCCTTTGGTCGGCCCCGAGGTCTCTTAGGTGTCGGCACTTCGCTGGGTTCCTTCTGCAAAGACAGATGGAGTCATCAGGAACACAGAAGCCACCTGTCCCACCCCTTTCAAAATACATGGCGCTCTCCCCTCACCCCAGCAAGACGGAGTCAGCAAGCCAGTGCCCCGACCCAGAAATCCACAGGCACCAGAGCAGACAAGCCCTTGTGATTCAAGTTCTCACAGTGACCATCTTCTGCAAAGCTCCTCCCAAGCCTCCCTGCGCCAACAGGAGGACAATAACGCAGAAGAGGGAAAGGCAGCACAGGGGCACAAAGACACCATCAGGCAGCTCTGGCACCACGGGGCTCGAAGCTCTTGGGCAAGATGCGGGATGCTCGGGCCTCAGTTTCCTCAACCGTAAATGGTGACAAGACACCTCACAGGGTATCCAGAGACTAAATGAAGAGTGTGGAAGTGGCCAGCACTGGGCCAAGACAGTTGCCTCCCCACTGTGAGGGATGCTGAAGAGGGGAAAGGATGCCCCCTTCACCCCGTTAGAGAGAGTCTCCAGCCTCTCCCTGCAAACTGACTCCCTCCAGGCCACCCCTCAGAGAAGGAAGTATGCCCACATGTCGGAAACCCAGAGCTCCCTACCGTGGTTGCCGGTGAAATTTTAATAAGCCCAACAGAGTAAGAAGCTGCTGCATGAGGCGTAGAAGCCAGGCAGTGAAGGCACATCAGCTACGGTTTCAGGGCGGCTGTCCACAGGCTGTTTAGGGCCACCATGGTCCTGTAACCCAGCACCCCCACTCGGGCACCCCTCCGCGGGCCCCAGCTAACAGGCACAGGGTGGAGGCCATGGGAACCGGACAGAGAATGACTTCCCTCCCCACACTGGGAGCTCTGGAAGCCCACCTCTCAGCCTCCTCATGGCTCACGTCCCCCCGAAGCCCGTACAGACCACACTCTCCATCCTACAGATGCAGAAGCCCAGAGCCCACCGCGCTGAGAGAGCAAGGGCAGACCTCGACTCCTGCCCTCTTCCCTGGGAAAGGGACATAAGCTGGGCCTTGCCAGCCGCCGCCCGAGAGAATCCAAGATCCCCACATCATGCCAGGTAGCCCCCCCAAGCCTGACAGGCCAGAGGCCAGGCTCCCCAGCGTGCCCCAAAGTGCCAGGTTGGTCTTCTTTTTTTTTTTTTTTTAAGATTTTATTTATTTGTCACACAGAGATCATGGGTAGGCAGAGTCAGGCAGGGAGAGAGAGGAGGAAGCAGGCCCCCTGCTGAGCAGAGAGCCTGATGCGGGGCTCAATCCCAGAACCCTGGGATTATAACCTGAGCCAAAGGCAGAAGTTTAACCCACTGAGC